TGTCCCCACAATCCTGGCAATAGCACGTTCTGGAAATGGCAGAGTGGAGGCAGTGCCTGCGGATTGAAAGGCCCACAGTGAGTGCCACGCTTTGGTTAATTGGCCCTGGGGCCTGGACATCCTGGGCAGCAAATATGCAGTTGGCTTTTGAGTATGTTGCTTTGGGTGTGTGTTTACTGCTTCCTCTCCCATCTTTGGTTCTGTTTCTGAGGAGCTTGCTTTTCTCAATCTCTTCTATATTCTCTCGTTTTTTTTTTTTTTCTAAAGAATTATAGACGTGGGGTGTGCCCTTCTGTGGGACTTAACAGCTTCATGAAAGAGATGGACAATGTTCAAATAAACATTTATGTTTGTGTGTATATATGTATATGTGCATATATATAAGAATTATTACAGGGATCGGTTCTGTGGCATAGTGGGCCAAGTGAAGCCGGCATCCCATATGGGTGCCAGTTCATATCCTGTCAGCTCCTCTTCTGATCTAACTCTCTTCTATGGCCTGGGAAGGCAGTGGAAGATGGCCCAAGTCCTTGGGCCTGTACCTGCAAGGGAGACCTGGAAGAAGCTTTGGATTGGCCCAGCTCCAGCCATTGTGGCCATTTGGGGAGTGAAACAGTGAACGAAAGACCTCTCTGTCTCTCCCTCTCCCTCTACCTTTCAACTAAATAAATAAGAAATCTTAAAAACTGTTTCCGATTAAAAAATTATTGCAAGGCCAATGCATACTCATAGTAAACAACTCCAATGGAACAAAGAGCTTATTTAGTACCCAGTTGACCTCTACCCTTGTCAAAGTCTTCTCAGGACATAACCTATACCTTAAACCTTATACTGACTCTTGGGTCTCCTTCTAGGTGATTTCCATGTGAACACACCATATATGTATATATATGTTAATGTTTTTTCCTTGAAATGGAGTGTACTGTACACTTCATTCTATACCTTGTCTTTTAATCATATTTTGGAGACCATTTTACATCACCATGTACAGGTACTCACATTTCTAAGTGACTAAGTTCCAGCTTAGGGGTCTTCTTTTATTTCTTGGTTTTCTCACATATTTTCCTTTCTTCCTTGGACAACATACTTCAAGACACACGTTCAGTGCATTGTATACCTATGCTCATGCTGCCTTCCGGCTTGGTTTTTCCAAACCTGAGAGAGCAACCTGGTGAGAGGCTGGGCCCACCTCCTATTCACCTTCTGGTCTGTGTGGGCTGGTTTGTGTTTGTGTGTTTGCCAAAGTCAGAGCCAAACTGATGACTCCAAGAGGCAGTGGAGCATGAACAAATGAGTGAGAGGTAGGGTATGTGAGTGGCGAATCCGTAGATTGGACATAACCAAGCAGAAAATCAAGATACTGCACTGTCTGAATTTTCAAGGTCAACAATGCTACTCTCTCTTTTCAAGTCAAGTCAGCACAGGAGCTGACTCCAGCAGCTTTGTGTGTTTTTCGAGACAAGGGGAAGGTCTCAGAGCTTGTAATGCCCGTCTCAGGAAGAGCCTGCAGATTCCCAAAGGAGATGGAAATGTCAGCTGTAGCCTGTCTTAAAGCAAGAGTGCTGCACTTTGGACCACAGAAGTTATTTTTCAAACTTCTTGTAGAAAGGCAACCTGTTTTTCAAATGAAATCTCTTTTATGATCTCCAGTATACAAAAGAGAGAAAGATGGAGCTGCAGGGCTTTGGTTGTGTTGGGCATCCTGGGCTCCCCCCAACAACTCGGATCGCTTGTCAAGTCCCCACACACAGATCAAAAGGCATTGGACCTGTTCAGTGTTTCTTTACAAGGAGGATGTTGTGACTTTATCTCTTGTCTTTAAATAAATTTGACACTATGAAGTTTCTACTCTGGGTATGGTACTGAAAAGATACAATTTTGCTTTCTCTTTGTCCTTTTTAAAGGGGCCTGTTTTTAGTTGGCTAGACTGAAGGGCAACCTATAGGTTAAAGAGAGGATGTACTTCTGCCACTTTGGTTAACTTTTAGCTACTAAAGTAAAAGTTAGAAGTAGCAGGACTGGAGAAGCTAGCTTGTATGGGCAGCCAGTTTTTCCACGAATTCCAAAGCCTGTGAGATTGATTGCTCTTAGTGTTTGCCACAGCCAAATGATTAACTAGAACCCTGAAACTGAGCCCGCCTGAGAAGTGATTTATGTTCTGAGTACAAAAAGGATGTTTGCATAAAACTATCGGATTTCTTATTGAGGCCTTTTAAACATTGTTTATCTTGGGGTCACCCACAGCTTAGAGCATTTTCATTTCTTTTTGTGTTTTATTGTCTTATACCAGAGGCCAAGGCCAGTCTTGTAGTATTTATTGAGTGGGGTGGATTAGGGCTTTCTAGGGGCTGCTGTTGAGGCTTTGGGAGAAGCATGCCTGAAACCACGGCAAGTGAATAGTGGTCTGAAATTTTTCACCACCGCCGATGAGGTAGTTGGTTAGGATTGATCCATTTTTCTAAGCAAACAAACAATACTCACAGACGTTGAATCATACTGTGAATCAGACTATGATCATTTGGGATTTCAAGACTGAAATGTGTATTGATCAAAGCCATCCTTTTTTTTTTTTTTTTTTTTTTTTTTTTTTTTTTTTTTTTTTTATTTGACAGATAGAGTTAGACAGTGAGAGGGAGAGACAGAGAGAAAGGTTTTCCATCCATTGGTTCACCCCGCAAATGGCCACTATGGCCGGTGCACTGCAGTCGACGTGCTGCGCCGATCCGAAGCCAGGAGCCAGGTACTTATCCTGGTCTCCCATGCGGGTGCAGGGCCCAAGCACTTGGGCCATCCTCCACTGCCCTCCCAGGCCACAGCAGAGAGCTGGACTGGAAGAGGAGCAACCGGGACAGAATCTGGCACCCCGACCGGGACTAGAACCCCGTGTGCCAGCGCTGCAGGCAGAGGATTAGCCTACTGAGCCGCAGCGCCAGCCTGGAACCTTCTTTTTAACACCTCTTTTGCATCTTGAAGTTTTATTCTGGATGGAAAACTCTCACCTTCTCAAGTTGAAATAGGGTACTTCATTCTTTTTTTTTTATTTTTTATTTTTTTTAATTTATTTTTTTTTGACAGGCAGAGTGGACAGTGAGAGAGAGAGAGAGACAGAGAAAGGTCTTCCTTTGCCGTTGGTTCACCCTCCAATGGCCGCCGCAGCCGGCACACCGCACCTATCCGAAGCCAGGAGCCAGGTACCTATCCTGGTCTCCCATGCAGGTGCAGGGCCCAAGCACTTGGGCCATCCTCCACTGCACTCCCTGGCCATAGCAGAGAGCTGGCCTGGAAGAGGGGCAACCGGGACAGAATCTGGCGCCCCGACCTGGACTAGAACCTGGTGTGCCGGCGCCGCAAGGCGGAGGATTAGCCTAGTGAGCCGTGGCGCCGGCCAGGGTACTTCATTCAAAAATGTCTACTGAGCACCTGCTATGTGCCAGACAGGGTGCTAGGTCATTGGCGCACAACAGCAAATGAAACAGACACAATTCCAGCTCTCAGTTGACTCTCATTGTTGTCTTAATATCTAGTTGTGAAAAATATGGTGAAACGTGAGACCTCATCCCTCTGCACGAAGATTGCTGTTTGCAGGAAACAATGTGCTTCAAGCCATGAAGCCTGACAGCTTCATAGAGAATTTCCTTTCCTGCGCATCCTGGGTGAGGCGAATGGAGGATGAAGATCATGGCCTCGTCCTGAATATGAAGATAAATAAATTACTGTGGGCTCACAGCATGCGCTGTTCCTTACCTGCAGGTGGAAGAAGACGTTTTCTTAAAAATACGTGCTCCTCTAGGTGTAATGCAGACCTGAAAGAAAAAGCACTCAGTCGCAATTCTTTCCTAATAAGAAGCCCTGAAATATCTGAGGAGTGCCTGATGGGAGCTCTTGCCTCGGCTCCATAGTTAGCAATTCCTGCCTTCCTCTCTCCCTCTGTTCCTCCTTCCCTCCCTCCCACTAAATGGGTACTCCTTATTGCTTGTTCTGCCAGCGGCAGACGCTAATGGTGTCTATTTTTAAGCATTTTATTTATTTGAGAGACTGAGAAATAGAAAGAGAGAGCTTCCATTCCCTGGTTTACTCCTCATCTGCCTTTAACAGGAACCAGGAACGCACTCCAGGTCTCCAGAGTCGATGACGGAGACACAGTTATTTCGGTTACTACCTGCTGCTTCCAGGTGTGCATCAACAGAAAGATAGAACCAGGAGTAGAACTGGGAGTGCAGCAGGAACTTGAAACCAGGGTCTCTGATACGGGACGCGGGTGTCTCACCCTGCATCCTAACCACGAGACCAAAGGCTCTCCAGGGCTGTGGATTTCCAATGCTCTCATCTTCCTTATCTTGTATCATAACCAACCTGAGTGCTAAGCCCTAACTGCTGACCGGAGTCTTTCATAATTCTTATTCTTTGCTGGGAAGATATGTTGGTTTTTCAGGCAGTGAGTGCCTTTGCTTCTGTACAGTCATGTTGGTCTGTGGGTGGAAGGACTCGTACTTGGCCAACTGTCTTCTGAAAAGCACCAAGTCTAAGTGACAGCTCAGACCAAACCAGCGTTTACCTTGTCCTTCCTGTGTCACATTACCCTGTGGTTTGTTGGACCGTTAGGTTAGGCCGTGTTTTAGAGAGATGAAGGTCAGGATGGCCGTTCAGGAAGGTCGACATCTCTGTGTAAACTGGCATCGGTGTCCTTCCATGGGAATTCATGTGTTTGGAGCACTGTTCTGTGGCAGGGCTCATCTCCAGGCACTTTTCGTGCCCTGTTCCCAGGACAGACCGAGATGCGTAAAGGAGATGCGTGGCTTACAGTGACAGCGTCCCTGGGTCCTGCTGTTTGTCACCACTGTGCCAAGTGGCTTCTTCCAGGCACTCAGGGAGACCAAACTCTTGCCAACTTTAATGTGGCGCACGCTTTAATTTAAATGAAATTGTTTCTTCAAGATGTATACATGTGTTTTCTCCCCAACTAGAGGCAAGCATTTTGAGCTTAGGAAAAGACCATTCACATATTCTGGTTTCTCTCCAGGCTGTACAGATCTTTTGCCTTTTAAGAAAGGTTTCCATGGAAAAGACCCTTCCTTCACTTGTACCTTATTTTGTGTTTTCTTTATATCACATAGAATAATTTTTTTGTGTTTATAAGGATATTCCAAAAAGTTCATAGAAAATGGAATTAAAAGACATGTTTTGCCCTTGTCTTGACTGTTGAGGAACAGTTTTTTTGTGTGTGCAAATTGTTGAACTCTTTACTTAGTATAGAGTTGTTCTTCTATGTATAACGTTAATTGAAAATGGATCTTAGTGGAGAGTGGGACTGTGAATGGGAGAGGGAGGAGGAGGATGGGTGGGAGTGTGGATGGGAGGGTGGGTTTGGTGAGAAGAATCACTGTATTCCTAAAGTTGTACTTATGAAATGCGTGAAGTTTGTATTTCTTAAATAAAAGGTTTCTTTGGGGGGAAAAAGACATGCTTTGGCATGGAAATTTTTGAAATTCATGTTTTTTTTTTTTTAATATTCACTTTCCAGGAACCTTTTAAAGGCACTTCATTTGCATGCATTCCAATTTTTCACACCAAAATAAACTTATCTTTTTATTTTTAAAGATTTTATTATTTATTTGACAGAGTTACAGACAGTGAGAGATAGAGATAGAGAGATAGAGAGAGAGAGAGAGAGAGAAAGGTCCTCCCTCCGCTGGCTCACTCCCCAAATGGCTGCAACAGCAGGAGCTGCATCAATCCGAAGCCAGGAGCCAGGTGCCTCCTCCTCCCAGTCTCCCACACAGGTGCAGGGGCCCAAGCACCCGGGCTATTCTCCACTGTTATCACAGGCTACAGCAGAGAGCTGGAATGGAAGTGGAACAGCTGGGACTAGAACCGGCGCCCATATGGGATGCCAGTGCCGCAGGCGGACAATTAACCTAGTGTACCACAGCGCCGGCCCCTAAACTTATCTTTTAATTTTTCTACAAACTGTTTGAAGTACCTGTGTAATTTTTTTAAAAAATATTTATTTATTTATTTGAAAGTCAGAGTTACACAGAGAAAGGAGAGGCAGAGAGAGAGAGAGAAAGGTCTTCTATCCGCTGGTTCACTCCCCAGATGGTCTCAACGGCCAGAGCTGGGCTGATCTGAAGCAGGAGCCAGGAGCTTCCTCTGGGTCTCCCACATGGGTGCAGGGGCCCAGGGACTTGGACCATCTTCCACTGCTTTCCCAGGCCATAGCAGAGAGCTGGATCAGAAGTGGAGCAGCCGGGACTCAAACCGGCACCCATATGGGATGCTAGCACTTCAGGCCAGGGTATTAACCTGCAGTGCCATAGCACTGGCCCCCTGTGTAATATTTTTATAAATATTTTCTGATAGATTGAGAGAGAGGCCCATGGCCAATGACTCAGATAATGACCGATTCAGGATTGGAGGGCTCATTGATGTTTGCTGAGGCCTTACTGTGTGCTTCAGGGTAATGAGCAGTATGTGACATGACATAAGTTACTGAGTATTTGCCTGGGATATTGGTTTCAGTATTTGTAGTATTATCAACCTTCCGGTCCTACTCACTCTTTTGCTTCAGGTAGCACAGAGCTGTACCTTCCTTTTTGTGCTCAGAGACCTGGTTAAGCTGGAACCGTTCCGTTATCACTCACTGAGACTGCTGCTGTAGTTTCTACTTGTGCTCCTGACCCACCCATGCCCATCTCCTAGGCTCTTCTGTTTCTGACCCAAAGACCGGTCAGCCCCTAGAGGGTTTTGATCATAGAACACAAGACCTTCGGATAGCGTTCCTGCCTTAATTCCAACCCTCCCCCCTCCCCCCACTCTGTGTTCTGGAATGTCCAGTGTTAATATCTCATGGACTGTGCGCTCTACAAGGACAGTGTCCATGTATACATATACCTCTTTGAATCTCTCGGAGCCAGAATGGTGTTTAGAATATAGTAGGATTCTGTAGATTTGTGTGGCATCAGACTGAATTTTGTGCAGTTTCTGAAACTAATGAAATTTCAGCTTGTTAGCAAACCTAATTGCATCACCTTCTGTCTGGTCCCTTACAGTCTTATTTGATGGATTCAGTGTTGTCGGAGCACTTTGTGAAATGGAAAACAGACAGCTCTTTCCTCTTGCAGCTCAGTGCAACTCTAGAAATATATTTAGAACATTTAGCCCTCTTGGAGTGTCACAGGCTGTCTGCATTTCTGTGAGGTTGTCCTCCTCATCTGATATGAAGAAGTGGCGTTGTTTCCAAAGCAATAGAAAAGTGGGAGGAAGGCAATCTGAGAGGTTTTTCCTCACTGTTCTTCAGAATATCTTTGGCCTTTCCATTATGTTGAGAGCAAAACATGTAACCTAGTTTTATTTATAACATTGATTCTGCCATTCACTCACTGATAGTTAACCAAAGTTTGCAACCCACTCTTCTTTCAAGATCTCTTTCCCAGCTAGATCAAATGGTTTATTTTATTTATTTTATTTTATTTTATTTTATGTATTTAATTTTTTTGACAGAGTTAGAGAGAGACAGAGAGAAAGGTCTTCCTTTTTCCATTGGTTCACCCCCCAAGTGGCTGCTATAGCCAGCGCATTGTGGCCGGCACACCGCACCGATCTGAAGCCAGGAGCCAGGTGCTTCCTCCTGGTCTCCCATGCTGGTGCAGGGCCCAAGCACTTGGGCCTTCCTCCACTGCCCTCCTGGGCCACAGCAGAGAGCTGGACTGGAAGAGGAGCAACCGGGACAGAATCTGGCACCCCGACCAGGACTAGAACCCAATGTGCCGGTGCTGCAGGCGGAGGATTAGCTTACTGAGCCACGGCGCCGGCCTCAAATGGTTTAGAAATCTCTGCGGATTCCCTGGAGAGTCTTTCGTTCAGGAAATATTATATTCTGACCACATTTGGACTGCAGATGGTTTACAATGATTTGTCTTCTGCACAAACTACTTGTGATTTGTGGACTTTTCTCTTATTCCTATTTCATTAGGCCAAGAAACTACATCCGTATGTGGCCTGCTCTGTATTTTCAGAACCGAATGGGTCACTGTTGGGCTTGGTTTTGATTTTCAAGGAATCAAGTGGGCAGTTTGGCACCCCAGTCACTGTTGATCTTCTCATTCTGTTGTAATGAGTGCCATACACTTTAGAGGTAAATTGTGTTATCTCTGTGTAAAAAGGAGAAATTGAAGCTTAATGGATTTAAGAAGCTTGCTCAAGTTAGCGCTGGTCTCTTTGTGTAGAATTCACTTAAAATATATGTTTTTTGTAATCATGAGATTTTATGAAAGTTCCTACAAGGAAAACAATGATGTTTAAGAGGCACTGTCATGTTCTCACCACGACATTCAACGTTATCAACATTTGCCTGTTGGAATGCCCTGTCTTTGGATCTGTGTTTAGAGTATACCTAACAGGTTTCAAAGAAAGTCAGTTGACGTTGAAAAGATCAGAAAGTATTAAATTTCTTTTCAGGCCCATTTTAATTGCATTTATATAATTATCTTCATAACCATTTTAAGTCAGTCTTCTTGTTAATATTTTATAAAGCATACAAAACCAAGAAAAGCCATTTTTAATTCGTGAAGAAAAAAATACAAAAATAAGAAAACTTGAAATGTTAGCAGATGGGTAATTAAAAGCAAGCGAAGAAGAATTATCACAGTTAGTGTGCATAGTTCTGTATACTGAGAATGTGTAATTGTTTGGGGTAATAGATGTATCTAGTCCTGAGTGGTGGTTCAGAAACTGCCTAGGATTCCTCCATCCCGTATCACAGTGCCTGGGTTTGACTCCCAGCTCTGCTCTTAATTTCAGTTTCCCGCTAATGCGCATCCTGGCTGCTGATGGCTCCAGAGTTCAGTTCCTGCCAGGGAGACCTGGGTGGAGTTCCCAGCTCCTGACTCAGCCTGGCCCAACCCCAGCTGTTGTGGGAATTTGGAGAATGAACCAACAGATATGAAATGTGTCTGTCTTCCGCTCTGTGTCTGCTTTGAAAGTAGAATGAAATGGAGAATAGAGTAGACTAGGCTAGACTAGAATAGAAGAAATAAAAAGTAAATATACCTGTCCTTGAATATCCGGCAGCAAATAATTGACTTTGCTCCTGGGCCTACTCCACTCTGCAGTCTGACGTGCTTCCGCCTACCCTTGCCCCAGCCCAGCAAGGAACAGGTAGTGAAGCCGCATGATTGGCATTGTCTTGAGGTGAGATATTGCGTTATTTTTGATTATTCACAGTACTCTATTATTTTCCCATAGGTAGTAGAGTATTACCTGAGGTCACTGTTATAAGGTATAAAATCCTTGAGGCTGGGACTTGGTCATCTCTGTATCCTGGGACCTGGGGCAGGGCCACGCTGTAGTAGAATCTGGGTGCAGGTTCCTTGCCTGGAGCAGAAGGGCCCCTAAGACCACATTTCACTGGTTGGGAACCTACTTGTGGTGCAAACCAACTTTTTGGGGGGGCATGGATTGAAGGTGGGAAAAGGTTGCTATTATTCTTTGGAAAACAAACTAAAAGCAGAGACAATTACACTGATCTAATTTTGCTCCAAGCATGTTGCCAAGAACAAAGTAAATAGCATAATTTGTGCTGAAGTGGGAAGTAAAGAAAACAAAATCTAAGGGAGGGAGAGATTATAGCTAGAAAACAAAGTTATTTTTCGAAACTATTATCCCCATGGTGCCATTTGTTTTCCAAGGTGACTGGTGTTCAAGTCCCTTGCCTGTGCTGCTAGAGAAACACCTGGCCTTCTAGGAGCTTGTTTGTAGCCCCTGGGAGGACTGCTTAGTCAGACCTTGCAAGCCCTGTGCCTTGTGTGGCCAGGATGCAGTGTTCTGCTTGTACTGCGGTACCTTTTACATCGGTGCAAACATACCTGGCTCACTTTCCCCAGCTTCCCCCTGTCTTTTTCCTCTGCTCAGGAAATCAGCTTGGTTGGGTCTTTTGTGTAGGGCGAACCCCATTGGTGAGTGGACCATCAGTGGGTTCTCTGTTAGCTCAGTTTTCATCAAGGAGATCCATTTCTTTCCCAAAACTGTGATCTAGGAGAGTTGCCAAGCAGCTAGAATTTAAAAAAAAAAAATGCACAAAGCCCAGCAAACAACGTCATTCTTTCATGTGGCGCTGTCC